CGCCCAGGCAGGGCGGTGCCGCGGGACGGCGCGGATCGGGGCTTTGACACAGATGGAGCCGGGGGCGGCAAAAGTCGGGGGGCAGCCAGAGAGCAACAGGAAAAGCCAGCCAGGCTGTGGCACCCCACAGGCAGGGGCTTTGGGGGAAGGGGGCAAGGGATGGGAGCATCTCCCCCAGCAATACCCCCGTCTGGCCTCCCGCCCAGCATTCCAGCCATCCTCTCGACCTCCTGCACCTCCAAGATCAGCCAGAAAACAGCCCTAAGGGAATTTGTGTCCTGTCCCCATCCAGAAATGCTGGATTCTGGTGTGGCTCAAGGAGGTGTCAGCCAGGCTCCCCTTGGACTGTGAGGAGAGGGTTTGCCAGGTCCAGGCTCACCTGGTGACCTTGAGTGACGACAGGTAGGTGCTCTCCCGTGCAACCTGCCGTGAGAGTGAGAAGAGCTCAACGCGCCGCAGCAGCAGTGAGTTGTCCCGCAGGCAGAACTGGGCGGCTGCCTCATTGATGATGAGCTGGGGGCAGAGATAATGTGTGAGCAGGGACAGGGACAGCAGCACCCACAAGACCCCACAGCCAAGGCAGCACCTGCTCCAGACAGGCAGATGCTGCCTAGGTGGGAGCTGACCCTGGTTCCCACCCTCTCCATGCTGGAGTCCCCAGCCTCCTCCCCGGGTCGGAGCCCGAGCCCCTTCCACCTCCAGAGCCACCCTGGCCCCTGCCCTTGAACATCCCCTGGACCTTAAACATGGACCCAGCTGTATTGCCCACCTCGTGCAGGGTGAGCTGCTTGCCCTCACGGCGCCGGGCCTCGCCGCGGCCATAGATCGCGCTGTGCCGGCGGATCTCCTCCTCCTTGGCCCGGTCACCATCCTCCAGCTGGAAGATGTGCCCAACAGCCTTGGCCAGCTTCTTGTTGAGCTTCATCAGGGCCCGCAGCTCAGCCTCGCCGCCCCGGGGGTAGCTCTGCAGCAGACGCTCCACGCTCTCTGCCACCGTCCGCACCAGCTCTGGCTCCAGCACCTCCGTGCCCACTGGCTGCTCACCCCCACCCCCACCCGGGGAGAAGGGGGGACCCCCTGGCTCCTCATCCCCACCGCCCTCTGACTCAGGGGTGCTCCTCCCTGGCCATGGTGGGCCTGCTGATGGTGACAGCTTCTCCCCAGGCTCTGTGGGGCTGCAGGCTGGGGGTGTCCCAGCACTGCTGCCCCCCTTGCCTGCAGCCTCACCAGGGCTGGCGTGCCCATTGCTGAGCGCCTTGCGCCCACCGGCCTCGGAAAGCTTGAAGAGGGGGATGCTGCTGACAGGCACTGCTGAGACGGGCTGGCTGAAGAGCCCTGGGTTGGAGGCCCACTCTCGCAGGGCCTTCTGGAGGCGGCGGACATGCAGGGGCTTGGTGGCCATGCCCACCAGCACCATCATCTCCAGGA